AATAAAACTTTTTTGAGAACATTTGCTAGACAGGAATGAAGATTTCATCGACAAACGAGCTCATCCAATAAAAAATCAATGAGATGATTATTGAATACAGGGTTTTTCCAACAGAGTAAATATCACTGAATACAACAAATACAAAGGAAGATACATTGAGAATAAACTAACTAAATACCCTTGTAGTGACTCACGTTTATCACGAGAACACGACTGGTTTAATAAAAACAATTATTATTATAACCAACTGTACCAGTGTTTGTTTTAACGTGCTTTTGTTTGACTGTGCTAATGACGGCTATTTTGTGCTTCCATTCTTTTACTTACACACTTCGATTGTAACTTCGCGCGAATTCGGTTACCTTGTGTAACCAAGGTTGTATCCTGGCACGATCTCGGTATCCTTTCGATGCCACGAGATCGCCAGCAAATATACACCTCGACTTGGTCCATTAACTGTCTTCTGATATTTGGCTGCTCGGGGATTTTATGGATTTATTCGGTTACGTCCAACTTTCGCCTTCTGATTAACTTGGCACGTGTTTCTTTGTAGCGGTGTTCATAGTTAATCTCAACTCGATGCCACGCTACAATTGGTACTCCCGATTCTACTACACCCTTACACAAGTAGAATTCACGAGAATACTTTAATGTTGACTGTGTGAAATACAACGTAAATCGATATGAGGACAGTGATTCTGAATATCTTCCTCTCACCATTGTGTTTCGGAATATGGGTCATTAATGATGCACAAATAAATGTTTCAAATGTAATAGACTCATTTATATACATAAAAATAGCGCAAATCACAACGAAGAGGCTCAGAGTTGGCTTAATGCTTAAAATTGATCCAATCTACCTAATATTAACAAGTAATGCGATGAGATACGCAAAAATCGAGATCTGCTAAACACTAAAACTGACCCAATTAACAAGTACATTTAATAAACTTACAAAACATAAGAAACAAACTAATATGTGCAAGTTTTCTATCCTTCCCAAACGTATCGAGGAAAGGCGATTTCTGAAGCTCAGCACAAGTGATAGACAATATAGCACATTGAAATTGATCAATGTTTAAGAAATGTTTTCTGAATAAAATATTTTTTGGTCAAACCATATGCCTGATTACTCCAATACAAACTGTGTGAATGAATTAAGTACTTATTGACTATACGATGAAATATGTTAGAGCACATTACTATAGAGAGTTGAACCTGGATTACCCAACAGACAACACCTGTCACCCCTAGTGAGGTATAGGCTACAATCAGGTATCTTGAAATAACTTATCCTGAGTCTTTCTTTCTAGGTTTTACTAAATGCTATTCATGATCTATTTTCCGGGTCTACGTATCGTTTGATCTGCCTCAAGATTTCTGAACTAGGGCTGCCAGTGTGACCAAGATCTCATGAATTGTATGCGAGATGATTCAACTCTACACGTGGTAGTTAGTTCGTCTTCTTCTGGGGCAAATAACTGCTGGTAGACTTTACCTGGTAAATGTGTAGTAACTTGTGTAGAAGGCTGTTCGTTTATATTTGTACACTTTTGTAGATGGTCGTAGTTCTCTAGGTTTCAGCTGCTTAAAACAAATTTGTAGAAACATCAACATCTGAAATCGATACGTTCGTCATCCCCTTGCTTTCGCAAACAATTCCGTATTACATTCAGTTGAACACATAGAAAACTAGACAGATATAATTTTTTCGTAGTGTAAGGCGAATTACTCGACGTCGTACATAAATACATTATATGAGATTAATCGAAGTATCGAACTTATTATTATTAGGATTCGAATTACAAGGAATTATATCCCTAGTGGAAAACGAACAGTTGTCCTATGAATCAGCTTGATGTGTCCAGTTTTGTTACAGTTAAGCCTTTACTTACTTGCTTACGTACGCCTGTTACCCCCAATGGAGAATGTACCGCTGACCGGAATTCTTCAAACCACTCTGTTCTGGGCCTTTCGTTCTACTTCTATACAAGTGTTGTTCATTCTCCGTATGTCTGCTTCCATTTCTCGGCGTATTGTGTTCTTTGGTCTTCCACTTCTCCATTGTCCTTGAAGATTCCAAGTTAGGGCTTGCCTTGTGACGCAGTCGGGTGATTTCCTCAGTGTCTGTTCTATGCACTTACAGCGTCTCTTCCGGATTTCTTCTTCCGCTGGGGTCTTGTTTTTTCTCTCTCACAATAGGTTGTTGCTAATAGCGTCTGACCAACGGACCGAAGTGTTTTGCATAGACAACTGTTAAAAACAATTGTACCTTCTAGATGACGGCTTTTGTTGTTCTCCAAATTTCGCTTCATACAGTAGAACTGTCTTAATATCCGACAATAGCCTTTTTACAATTTCCTTCTGAGCTAAGAGCTTACCAGGTTGTTGCTGACGATATCCGACCAACAGATCTGTAGTGTCATGAGTAGACAATTGTTTGTAAATACATCTGCTTGTTTGATGATGGTTGGAGTGGTTCTGCAAGTTTCGTATCCGTAATTTACAACCAACTTGACGTCCGTAATGAAGTTTCTGACTTTGATGTTGGTTGACAGTGGATTTCAGTCTCATATGTTCTTCGAATGTGTATATGCTCTCTTTGCCTTGCCAATACGTGCCTTTACGTCAGCATTAGATACCCTTTGTTTATCGATGACCCTGCTCAAGTACTTAAGACTTTTCGACTATTTCGGAGCTTGTTAACCATATTTGCTGTAGTTGGTGCTTTCTGTGTCGGATTTTAGGATCTCGTCTTTTCTCCTAAGCGTGTTGAAGATAACTGGTCTATGGGATAGCAGAGCTTGGTCATATGTAGTTCCAATCTTCTAGCCTCTTCCAATCTGTCCATTATATTCTTGCTTCCGCTCTATCGATCTCGACAAAACACGACCACGAGAAGAGGGAAACTGTGTAAGGAAAGAGTCGCCACCACTAAAAACCTAGAGGCAGTGGCCGGTCGTTTCAAGCAATTAGGACTCCTCAGCAGTGCGCATCCACGATATCGAATGCTTGCGTTGATCAAAGTTCGACATCAAAATGGCGGCTCAACGGTCAAGAGGTTGAGTGCTTGCGCGGGAGATCGAGAATCCTGTGTTTGACCCCTAGACGCAGGGTTGTGGATGCACACTGCTGGGGAGTCGCAGAAGACGAAAGGCCCTCGATTGTCTTCAAGTTTTCAGTGCCGGTGCAGCTTACATTAACTCATGAATTCGACTAATAAAATTATACATCTAGTAAAATATTACTCTCTTCAGCTAGATCATCAGCAGACTTTATTGAATTATGCGACAAAGCTGTTTAAATGAACGAATGAATCCAAATCGTACGGAAAACAAGGTAATCTCAGTGTGTTAATGATGATAATGTCAAAAAGATTTAATGAGTTTTATCAGCAAAAATCGTACGTTTTCTCTTCATTGACACTTTTTGCATTACGACTAAACTTAATTAGAAGAATAATTAAGAATAGCTTGATAAGATTCACAAACATTTCGACGAGTAATGTAAATCAATTGTAGAATAAATGAACTTAGTGACCGTTGTGTAAAATTGTGTTTCATCTAAAATATATTTCTAATCAGTTTAGGAATGTAGACCATCATCAATGAGTGAAAATAGACGAAAATCGACGGAACTAGTATGTCTTGTTGTCTGTCATTATGTTTTAACCAACGAACTAACTGAGATATATTAACCAGTTTTAACACAACGCCAAGTTTGGTAACACGAATACCTGAGGGACAAAATGAATCCTGATGAGAAATTGTGAATATATCATTTGGATAATCGGGAATACGTTGTTCCTTGAATGACTAGTGTTGATCAAGTTTGTGATAGAATAAAGCTGCGAATCCATTTCTCATTGAATAATTTCAATAAATTTTAGTTTTCCGTTTGTAGTATCGTCTGAGCTCGTATTCTAGTTCTGGCTGTCTGGGTCAAATGCTTTGTGTGTTTAAATTAAAGAGATGAAAATATTCAAACTAGATCAGTTAGCCACATTGAAGCTACCTTGATTCATTATCTACAGTAATTTCGTATTCGTCGTTGTGCTCATTATTTTAATACAAATTAGTCTAGTTCAACTGTTATTCTTCATGTATAAATATCCTAATAAGCGATTGCGCAGTCAGATATTTATTTGTAATGTAATGAGCTGATGGATATCTCAGAGATATTGAGAGTTCTTATGTTGCTTTGTTCTCGTGTTATTTTAATTCTCCACTTCCATGAATAAGTCAGTGTCCATAAAACCTTCACCATGAATTACACATTATATAGATAAACAATGATCATGGTTAAACGGACATAATCACTTTATATTTGTGGAACACTCGTTTGTTTACAAAGATAGTTTGAAATACGTTATACCGATCGGTAAAATAGGATTAATGTTCTAAGTTAAATTGAACATCGTGATGCACTTATCTTTGTCTATTTGTTTTTTTTCATATCTCCCTTCACAGTTGAAATTATGTCGGAAACCCCAACATCATTATTAGTTATTGGAGCTGGTCTGCCAAGAACCGGAACGTTGAGCATGAAAAAGGCATTGGAAACAATTTACTCTCAACCTTGTTATCATGGTTATGAACTTGTGACGAGAAAACAATGCGACATTGCTAAATGGCAAGCGCTTGTCGATGAGGTGCTAACGACACATAGTGAGGGGAAGATACATAGATATTTGAATGAGCTATTAGTCGGTTATTTAGCTGTTACTGATGTTCCATCATGTGCACTCTACAAGGAGCTGATGAGTATATATCCTAATGCAAAGGTACGATAATTGGTATATTGTTATGATTTACGACTGTTCGTTATAAAACTGTAATTTTTGGTTTAACTCGGCTACTGAAAGTTAATATTTATGTACTTATAACATTGAAGTTCGAGATTGAAGTTAACTGGAAAATTTACTCAATCGCTCAAACAAACGTTATTCCTAAAATAGACCAAAATAATGTTTTGGCATATATCTTTGACTGATTTTTTAAATGCGTTATTTCTATATCGATAATACCTTAATATACCATAAATCTCGTTTTATACAGGTTGTACTAACAGTACGCGATAAAAACGATTGGTTGGCTAGTTTCCGACAAGTGGTCATGCCTAAATCAGATGATCCACGTAAAATACACATGGATGAGGGGAAAAGACGTGCAGGGATCCCCATCGAATTGGACAAACTGCTTGCTGATTCATTGAAACTGGCATTTCAGAAGAATGATCTTGATTTTGATGATGATGCAATATTACTTGAATGCTATGAAAAACATAACAAAACTCTTCAGGAAAATATACCACCTACACGTCTTCTGGTACATCGATTTGGAGATGGTTGGGAACCATTGTGTAGATTCTTGAATATGGATGTACCAGCTAACATACCATACCCCGTGGCTAACAAACAGTCTGACTTCCAAACGCTACGGGAATTAATAAAGAAATTTGGATCGATTGAGGCAGCCGCTAGAATGCATTCAGAAATAATATAAAATTGAATTAAATACTAATTGTGTTAAGCCCCAATGTTATTATTAGCCAAAACATAAATTGTCACAAAGCTTTGAATTCCGTCTTCTTATTGACAATCATAGCAATGTTAGTGAAATATGTAGTCAGTATAATATACTATAATTTTGAATTAATTCATTATTTTCTTGTCACACATCACTATGTACATCGAAACACCTTGTTTATAGCAGTCAAATAACTGAATGTAGGAATCATGTTATGAAGGTCGTCACCAAAAGATTCAGGTTTGTAAGGAAATATTTTGATAGCATTTGCGGGTAAAGTGGATGTTTTTGAGCAAAGACATGAAAATATCGATTAAATTTATACAGAACAAGATAGATCTCGATGGTATTCAGTCATCTATTCTACAAATAAAATTATCTGATCTGTTTGACGATGTTCTGTTCGTAGGTGGTAATCGCTAAAGAGGTGACCGATACACTGGCTGTCCTAATCTGCATTCGTTACTGTGTACGAAACTTTGACATTCATACGTATTTATCTGTGGACTTCTCACTCAGCTTCACATTATGTCCAGTGGCTTCAGTAAAAGAGGATTTTCGCCAACTTCCAAGTCAAATAAGATGGGTAATCTCAGATCTCTAGCTTATCTTATCAGTTCATGCTGTATTTTAATTACTGAAAAGAAGTGCTCACATGTGTTGGTGGTTACAAAATGTATCTTTAAGGTCAGGGGCTGAATAATATATGTGCAATCAGGTACTGTTTACACTATAATTTTTCAGGAGGGTTGTAAATTGTTAGACGATACTATATTATTCACCATAGATATTTTCGCCCTCCAGCATTTCTTAACACGTTGCATCTATTGTCCGCCGAATGCCGCTCGTCCAATGGATACACATGTGGGCCGAGTGGGGATCCATCGCGTGGTCCTTCTTATTTCAAAAAATGCATCAAAGTACCATGAAGAAACAGTTGGACACAGATATTCAACGAGCTGTCCAGGAATACTAGACTTGATTTACATGCATAGTGCCCCAACGTATACCGAATACACTAGTCTTGAATTCACATACACTGATCACAAAGTTGTAGCCTGTAAACCCATTGTGTGGAAGTGCTCAAATGGGACGAAAATTATCACAGAACCTGACCAGAACTATGCAAACAAGGAACGGCCCTACTCTGAAATTCTGCGTGGTCTTATTTAAAATGATATTTTCCCCTGAAGACGTTAATACTACACGGGTGTTTGTGTTCTAATCTTGGGAACTGTCTGGACTTAACCGCTCGAATTATGACAGAAGAACTCATGCATGCGTTGTTTTGATTATGTTCTTATGAAATTCGGAATCTAACGGAGAAAGTTGAGAAAAACTTTCTTTGTTCAACATGGCTTTTCAGCTATTCTCAATATCCAATCTGTATTTAGCAATATTATAATCTTTCGGGTTGATCGCCTCCTCCCACTTCATCCTCAAGATGTTACATTTGGAGGTAGAGCAAATGTTTGGATTGCTTTATCAATACCATGACGTGATTAACGAACAGTTGTGTTCCGCCATATGAACTTCGAAAAACAAGTACTTGTCATCGAATTTGCGTGCTGGAATATCTGACCCATTTTATTTCCAGATGATTTTGGTTCAGCTGAGTGAGCTGATGAAATTGCGCTCGGATTATCCTTTTCACTAACATACTTATTCACATCCATTAGGTGGATTTCAGTGAATACTTCACCGTCTAATTGGTACATGGTGAATCATTTTGCAAAAACGTATCCAAGATTGATTATCACTTATGAAAACACATGACCATTTAATTGCCTAGCCTTTCCTTTAGCTAACTACAATGAACGAAAACCTGATTATATGTTAACTTTCGGAGATAAATGGGTTTTGAAGAACACCAAAGTGTCACATGTGCTTCATCGGGATTATCGATAACATTACATTTCATTTGAATGAGCTATGAGAGTTACTGTGCAACACAGTTGCTTAGGCATTCAGCAAATGTAGTCAGGATGGAACGCATAGCCAGCGGTTTCAACTCATGTACATTAGTGGACCTATTATTCACGCCGAATATTGTGAAATGTTCAGTAAACTCAATAAATCCTTCTCTCGAATGTGGTTATGATGGATTACTGGCCAATTTAACTAAACATGGTGTTTCTGACATTCATGTCCTGCTTGTTAAAATATTTAACCTGTGCTTTTGTTGTGGCTTCTACTCCTAGCAGTTCATACGCCAGTTGTATAATATAAAATGATCTGGATAAACTCCAAGAATAATGTGATGCATGGTCCCCGTTTCTTCATGACAAAAAGTCTATGTGCATGTATTTGGACAGGCTTAGTCCGCATGTAAGCTTGTTGCTGAACAAGCTGTAATTTAGACAGCTTTGTAGCATTGGCGACCTAGGAGTGAAGTAATCCAAAAGTCTTTCATTCATCGGAAAGGCTACATTTCAAGTCTTTGGAGCCCATGTACATATTGGGTTTATCAACCGTCATTTCCACTTAAAGAAATCTGAAATAACCCGCGACTAGGTATCTGTTCGACCTCCAATAAAATACTGTCTGATAATATCCAGTTTCGTGCGTTCCATTGATTGACAGAAAATTGAGAAAGTAAAGCGTCAACATCTAACCAATCGGCACCTTGTGGCCGTTTCACGAATTGCAACTACTCCACTCCCGAATGACCTCTTTATTCTGAAATGTCGCAGTTCAAACCGTGCTTTACTTATTTCCTCTTGTTATGCTTCATATTCCCTTTCCGTAACTTGAATAAATCTGCTTCACTTGATCTCGGCAACCATTGATCGTGTCACACAAATCGGGCCTTGGACCACGATCCAATAAAATCTAAAGATGTCACATGAACTTGAAACTTGACAATTCCTTAATCAGTAACATTCTTTATAGTCAAAACGAGCCGACCCAGTGAAATCATAAGTGAATGGATTTGAGGATTTACTTCATAGAAAATCGATATGTCGAGAACTGACTTATCTTAGCTGGCTAGTGAATGTAGGAGATGTGAAGCACTCAATGGTCACCGCTACAACCGTATTGAAATTAGAGACTGACCGAGAGCAAAATTAGAAACTGTTTAATCATAAGAAGACCAGAAAATATCCCAAATTATCGTTCGTATTCTACCAGTACGTAACATTTTATTATTACTGGTATGCGCAGTTTTTCTAACTAGGTATTGTCTTATTCATGACATTTGCAACCTTAAGCTCCACTTTCGTATTCTTTGATCAGCTACCAATGCTATACCACGTATACTCTGAACATTACCTTATAGCTGATATCATTAGTCAACTTCATAGCACTGTGATGTACTAAATCAATGTTCAACCGACATTACAAAGGCTTCAGCCGTCTGATTTGCTTGTAGCATGAAGCTAGTAGTATCAGAGTATTTCAACTATGTGTATAATATGGAGCTTCAATTAAAACAATATTGATATATACGGTTAATGTAAGAGAGCCCAACATCACAGCAGGAGAGATAGTGATGTTTCTAGCGTTAGTGATCCCTACGGTCAAGTGGAATGTCACGAGCGAATTGAATTATGCTCTTTGACCCATGACCGTCTAAGTAGTCATACTCCAGTTGTTCCACCACAAATGACTAAACATCGCGATTCACGAACACGGTCCGTCTCGATTCTCGCCCTTCACATTTTTAGCAGTCTCGTGGTATACCAACGGAAATATTTGTGTAACATACGACTTCTTGCTGCGCCATCACTTGTATCTCAGGAATTTATCTAGTACTACTATGGAGAAAGACAAACGTATACGTTCAAACTGACGTCTTTGACTGACTGATCTGGAATTTAACTCCATTCGTTATCGATTGCTTGTCGTAACGCCACACCCACGAAGCGCGCCGAATCTCATGTTGGACATTATAGTCATTCTAGCATTGTGCTCCGAACATGGACGACTCTAAGTTCTAGAGTTTCTGTCTATTTGATTCATGCAATTTACACAGATTACAGTGTCAACCTTACAGTATCTAATACTGACCACATTTGATGAAGTACACTATCTCATGTCATGTTCATGTTAATGACAAAATGAATAGATTTCTTAGATTGATGTACTCGTCAACATTTGACTAAGCAAGTATATATTCAAGATTCTAATGACTTTATCAGTCATCTTTCGCTTCGCCTACTCGGAGATCACTAAATATCATTTCAGTTCACTAGGACAAACTGGTATAAAAACAGTGGAACAACTTAGAAGTTCACTACTACATGACGTAATCGTTGATGATGCAAAGCAGATCAACATTTGAGATAATCCGTTAAAGTTTTATGCTCATAGGACTCAAGAGCACCACAAGTATTCACCTGAATTGCAAAGCTTAAACAACACATTGCCACATATTCGTGAAACTCTTGTCAATCACTGAGCAATTCCTTTTCTGATACATGAAAATTGAAGAATTTGGCAGGCGACATATTCTATCCATCCAAATGTGGTACACCAGTTAATTTATTACAAATAACCATGCATTTAACGCACAGAGGCGTTGTAATAGTTTCATTATTTACATTATGCTTTATGAGTCTCAATAAACGATTTAAGCCATTATGAAATTTCAAAAGCAACACTGGTTTTACTTTCAATTAGTGGTATACAGTCACCAGTTCTGTATAAGATCCACATCTTGGGACATACGTCGCTGACTTATAACTACTCAGAATGTTTTAGTGGCCCTAAATCTCACTTCACTTAGATGGTATGAAGGATAGTTATTGAAATGCATGTCACTAATCCTCAAATATATTTTCTGACTGAAATCGCGTTAGTAAATAACTGAACTAAACAGGTCCAAATCGAGAATGGATATTGGATACGTAAATTCTGTACAATCGTTGGTCGGAAAGCGGAGCGAAATAAAACAACGCACAACGGAGAAAGCGGGTGAGCCAACTTAACCTAGAGAAGCATTAATTGACATTTATCGTCACACAAGCATTAGT